ATAATGAGATACGAGAATGTGTTTTGAGTCCATGAATGAGACGGATAGCTGAATTTATGAGATATTTGTGAACTCGTAGAATTTTGTTATGATGAAAGCTATGAGATTGACTAGTGATATTGACCTTATGGAGCCTCGCCATGATGGGAGCTTGTGTTGGCTATTGATGTTTTTTTTGCTATTAGCCTTGAGGTTGCTAAACAATTAAACGAGAAAACTTGTCAAAGAAAAAGAAAGTTTTACGACATGCATCATATTTGTATGACTTGAAGGCAACGAACAGTGGCACAATTGGTGGTGTTGGAGGTTCAGTCCCATGCTAACCTATAGGGGATGACAAAAGGGAAATAGTCGACCTAGGGGGCACAGACTAACTTACTGTGGCTGGGTCATGACCATTACAAACCTTTGCCAAACCTGACAAGGACCCCGCATTTCTATGGTCGTTGAGGTCTATTCTTGAACTGACATGATGCATCCGATTAATGTTGATAATGATATATATATTTTGGTATTATGCCATTTGTAGTAGGGAATGAAGTCATCCAATAGTCTTGTGACTTGATATGTTATTACGAGCCTCTATGTGGATACTAGATACAAGTCCTCAGCCATAGAGTGATTGGATCTCTATGCATTTTATGTGCATATGAACAAAACAAAAAGAGGTTAAGTTGGTGAGGAAAAACTTGCATTATGCATTATATGCATTATTGTTTGAGTAGGTCATTAGTGCTTGAGGATTGTGAATGGTAATTTTGTATATTTGGCTGCCTTTATATTGACATTACCTATTCGCTTGATATTGAGTGTATGTTGTCACTGTCCTTAAGGCATAATTATTTGATCTTGTTTGCTTTATTTAGAGAACTCATTCTTTGGTTGTTTTTGTTCGTACTTGCTTGTCTTGTGTGTTTGCTCAGATGAATAGGGACAAGATCAAAGTGTGGATCCTGCCATTGGAGGAAGATCTTCAGTTTTTGATGTTGCTGCTCAACAAAGTATGTATCATGGGTTAGCTTGCGTGGCCCGTGGTGAAGAAAGTGGTGGATCTTGGATCGCTTAGTATGTTGTAGATATTTCCACTGAGATTATCCTACGTTATCTTGCTTTGCCTGCTACCTCTAAGCCTATGCAAGTTGATCCCTGTACTCCTATGTTTAGGCCAACTCCTATACTTGTTCCTTTTTCCTCTATGTATCCTACCTTACCTCCTGTACACAATTAGAGAGATACTCATGTAGTGAAATCCTCCATTTGACTTCACCCTATGATAAGTACCCCTCGGCCTGCACTTCGTAATAATGAAGTTGTACCTTCTGACATGTATCGTACATATCCATCTTCTCTTTCACCTTTTCTACCATCTCGTTCATCCCCTCGTACTGGTGGTTAGATAGAGGAAGATGATGATGATCTTGAGCTTGCGCCTGCTTCTACGTCTCGTTTTCTTCCACTTTTAAGGAGTCTGATCCAATTGAGGATTATTTTCCTTATGATTGATATTATCATTTGTTTTATGTTAAAGTAAAGGAAACTACTCTTAGGATTCTCTTAGCGTTATGTTTAAGTATTTTAATTATGTTTAATTTTAGTTAAGTACTTTGAACAATGGTGTTGGTACTTGTTTCCTTAGTTATGATATTATGTAAATATTTTATTTATGAGTTGTGAATGATGATGCATGAGTATGTCACTTATTATGAAATATTGGGATTATGATTTAATTATAAGTGTGATGGGCAGGTATTATTTTGTGTAGTAAAGAATTATATTATATGATTATTATTCATGGACAAGATATGAATAAGATAAAAGGCTGAATTAGAATAAGATATGCATGTTAACTCTCTCACATCTAAAAGGAATATAGGGTGAAGAAAAAAAATAATAAGAAAGAAAAAAAAAGATGCGTGTAAAATTGACTTGTATGATTATGATATGTACATGTGTTTAGCATAGAGTAGTGTTAAGGTGTTACAATAGTTATGTGAGTTAATTTTTAACATTAACCCCCAAACAAGTATCTACTTGTCATAGAAATTTTTTGTTATAAAATTCTAATTGAAGATTATGTGTATTATTCCAAACAACAATCTTCCTCGTACTGTAATCTTTTGGCCTAAATAAAGGCCTTAATCTCTGGACAAGAAGATAATAGGTCTAGTATTAAATAGAGACTCTCAAACAAAACAGGTTTATAATCCTCTATATTCTTGAATTTTACAAAAAAAAAAAAATTATTATTAAAAATAACTCCTAACTTTTGATTCAGATAGTCAAAACTAATAAATTTTTCTAAAAGGTTAATTATTAATGTTGATTTTTATGGAGAATATCTGGACGATATTAAAGTCTTTAAGAACAAATCTTATTATTTCATCATCACTTAGAACTAGATCTAGGTCTTGATATTCAATGACTTAGTCCTTATATGTAATAAACTCAGAGTGAGTAGGGTTGGAAAACACTTGAGCGACTTAAAATTCTATATAATTATCCTCTTACATGTTTTTGTTTTAAATCTGTCATGGGAGATTCCAAATATACCTTAACTTTGTTGATGCTTCGAGTCATCAAATCTAACTTTTTAGTAGAACACTTTTATGCTTTAAGGTGCTCTATCCCGTAGTTATCCATTAAAGTAGTGGATGAGCCCAAAGAACATTCTTAAAGCAGGAACCCTAATAGAGCGACTAACTTAAAAAAAAAATCTTAAAATTTTAAAAACTTTGCTAAAGCTCATGTGACTTTATTAAATCTAAAACATATTTAATATAAAACTAGTACTTATATCTCATTAGATTAAATTATAATTTTTTAAACTAATACTTTTAATTTCAACAATAGTTAAATATATAAATATTTTTAAACATTTTTATCTACAAATGTTAATATAACAATGATTGCGTATACTTTATTGATGTATATTTTTATTTATTTATTATGAATACATGTAACAAAATATATTTGTAATTTATTAAAGATTAAATAATTTTAATTATTATATTTGTTTTATAAGTTAAAATATAAAAATAATATTAAAAAAATAAGATAATATAAATTTATTGAAATACATTATTAATCAATCATACAAAATTGAAATTAAATAAATATTATTTTATTAAGAATAATTGAGATTGAAAACCAATTTATAAATAATTTAAGATGGTAATTAGTTATATTTTATTAATAGATACAAATTTTATTTACTTAGAATAAATATAAGAAAAATTGTGTTTTAAATTTAATTTAAATAAATTAATAATATAAATTTATTTAACAATATCATCTAATAATAAATTATTATATATGTAATAATTATTATTATTTTTATAATAATTAATAAAAAAAAGAAATCTACAATAAATTTTAATTGGTTAATAGTGTAAAAATATTTACACCGGACAACACCGGCAAATGAAGCTCATATTTTTATGAGGATGTATCAAAGATTTGTGTGCTTTTAATTCCCATTTATTTTTTAAATTTAGAAAATATAAGGATTAAAATATTTAAAATTTAAAGTCATAATAAATTCTATCACATTAATGTCTCATTTCTCCACGTACAATGACTATATCTAATAAAGTATATTTTGTTGATTTTTAACAATTAATGAATTTTTAATTGCTTTTCTTACAAGTTTCCAAAAAATAGCTATGAAGGTGTATATATATTTTTAATATATTTGAGACTAATATATGTGATAATGTATGAATTTATTTGTAATTTTTTAAAAATTAATATATTTTTGTTAACATTTTTTAAAATGTTAATACAGAATTTTGAGAATCAATAAGTGGAAAGTAAAAAATAATAATAAATTAATAAAATTAAAATAGATGGATTCATAAATTTTAATTTTTCCAAATATAACATACAATAATTATAATTAAAAAAATTTAATACTATGCATAATGTAAAATGACACTTTAACAAAATTAGCTTTTGTGATGCCGTGCCTATGTTAGCTTTAAACAAAACATTGTCTTAATTTTATAACAAAAATGATTAATTTGGAATAGAAATTAATTATATAATTTAAAAAAAAAAATAAAAGTTAGAGCAATACAAGTATTGTTTTGTCAAAATATTTGTTTTAGGAAAAGGTTATCAAAATAATACAAAATATTTGTCAAAATTTAGGTTGAAATACAAAATCTATATTAAGAAAATATAAAAAAAGTAATAATTATAAAAAGAAAGTATGCCTTAAAAGTGTTTCACATTAACAGAATATAACGATTTTAACGTGTACATTGTTAAAAAAACATTATAAATAATATTTTTAATATATCATATATAAAATCAAAATTTATAATCATCAAAATTAAATTATTACTTATTTTTATTCTTTATTAAAATCTAAATATGTTTTTATTAATGTATTTTACTTAATTATTTTTAACATCTAATGATATTTTAAATTTTACTTTATTTTTAAAATTTCAATATGAATTTAATTTAAATATTTACTAAATAGTTGTTTATTGATAAATATAATAATGTTGTTGTGTTATATTTTGTAAAAATATTTTGCAAATATATAATCGACAAATATTAACTAATTTAGTGAGAGATTTGTAAACCTACTTAAAATAATTTATGATAAGAATAAACTTTTAAAATAATCTTTATGATAGGTCGATTTTAGTTATAATAGTTTTTTATTTTTTGAAAATTAAAATAAATATTTTAAAAATAAATTATATTAAATACCTATTAAACCTTTAAAAAATTTATGTCGAACAACTAAAAAAAATAAAGTAAATTCTTAAATATAAAAATAAGCCAAGTTCATGCAATATAAATCCTAATCTACAGCTACGCTAGATTTGATTTTTATTTGACTGAAATTATTTTCACACGTAACCTAGCTCATTAAATTAAAATAAAATATTATTATTTTAATGAGAAAGGAAAGACGAAAAGAGAATAAGAGGGGAATTTATGATGATGGAATTATAGAAAAGGAGATAACGCGGTGACCCTTATGTGTGTGTTCACATTGAACAAGGAAAAAGGGAAGAAGAAGATATATAATATTTATGATGAGTCACCGATTTTTGTGAGAAAAGAGAGAGAGAGAGAGAAAGAAGTGGTTGGGTTGGGTTGGGTTGGATTGTAATCCATTCATCTCTCCCTATTTTCCAAGACAAAATCCTTCTCCATCCCTTCTTCTTTCTCTTCCTCCTTACCCTTATTATTATTCCACTCCTTCACCCTTCAAGGGAAGGAGGAACAACTCTGTTATTAATAATTTATCATATTTATTTATTATTTTAATATTTAATATTATCATTAGTATTATTATTTCTGTGAATTTATCCCCCATCCGTAGAGTGGAACAATGGATTCGTTGTGTCTCTCCAACGATTCAGTTTCTGGATTCAAAGACAAGGAGTCAATGGTTGACCCCTTCTTGGTTGAGGCTCTTCAGAACCCTCGTCATCGCCTCACCAGTTAGTCTCTTCTCTTCTTCTATTGACTTTCCTTTCTGGGGTGGGGCTATTTTTCTTTTTTCAATGCTACTGCTTCCTGGGTTTGCTTCAAAATTGTTGCTTCAGCTCGATTTCGCTTTGACCCTTTTCTTTCTTTTCGCATGGATTTTGCGTGTTGATGTTCGATAAGAATTTGTGTGTTTTTTGTTTGTTTTTGTGTCATGTGTATGCTAATTTATGTCAGATCTGGAATGGTTGGGGTTTTTCATGCTTTACTGTGATAATTTGAGATTGAGAGTCTGAGTTTGGTGTGTGATGTTGGGGCTTTTCTTTGGGAATGAAATCAATCAAACTGGATGGTGATTTAGGGGATTTGTCCAAAATTATGTTTTTTTTTTTAATTATTAATTGATTTGATTCTGAGCTTGCTGAAGATAACGTCATCCTTCAAAGAATAGAAAAATAGGCATGTATGTTTCTGCCATGTGAAGTTTTGAAGGGTTAAATTGTGATTATAAAGGAAAACACCTTAATTTCCAAAGTTGATAAATTGTGTTTTAGTGTAGTATTTAGTTCGTTGAATTTGAAAACATGGCATCCACCATGAACAATTGATGTTTGATGCATCCACTTTCTTTCAGTAGCTCGTAAATCAGGCTTGCCAGTATCTTGATAGATCTCTTTGCACTTCTGCATGCAAAACATTGACTGGTAGTAGGATTTTAGCTTCAGTCTACTGGAGTAGGTCATAACCTAATCGGAAATGACTTGAAATTGTCAAGGTTTAATTTTAACGTAAGAATTAAATTAAGTCATGCTCGAAAGTGTTAACCTCAGAATGATTGATAGGTAGGACCTGGGGGTTGGAAGCTATACAACAATTTGAAGGAGCCTGAGATTGCTTCTCTGTTTATGTCTATAACTAATTTTCAGCCCTCTGGCTAAGAAACTTTGCGTGTCTATTGTTGTCTTGTGTTTCTTAATGATTACCATTTTGATGGAATTGTTGCAGTAGTAGGTATTGCTTGTTGGATCAAAATTTTTTGTGTCACAAGCTTAAATTAGTGGTCTTTGAGTGGCAGCGGGCAGTTGTGCTAGTAGTTTTATGATAAATAAATGAGCTATTCTTTGATGACTATGTTCTGCCTATAATCTCCCCATACTAGTGTCTTTTCTGGCTAGATTTTGGTTATTTTCTTTAATTTTTTTACCATTCTGTGTAAATCATGACATCTTTTTTGTTTGTTTGTTTGTTTGTTTCTTTGCTGCTTTGTTTACATCTTTAGTTTTGAGGATGGAGTTGGATATCCAGAGGTTTCTGAACAATGCTGATCAGCAGCATTTTGAGTTCCAACATTTTCCTTCTTCCTATCTCCGACTGGCTGCACATCGTGTTGCACAACACTACAATATGCAGACAATGGTTCAGGATAATGGCTTAGATGGACAGGGAAGTAAAATTCTGGTGAGGAAGTTGCCAGAAAGCAAGTATCCTGTTGTTCGATTATCTGAAATACCTTTAAAACAGTTGGAAAATGATAAATCCGAGCAGAAAAAAATTGTCATTAGACCTAGGCCTTATAAAACTAGTTTGAATGAAGCCAATGAAGCTGGGATGAAAGGAAATCCTGTGAGAAGTGTAGAAGAGAGGAAGGAGGAATATGATCGGGCACGAGCACGTATCTTTAGTGGCTCTAGAAGTTCTGATTCATGTGATACCTATTCCCTGGTCTCAATGGATGGGAAAAATTCTTCTACAAGCACGGATGAGAATGAAACTAGCAAGAACCCCATGACTGATTCAGAAAGATGCATTAATGTCAGCATCAGGGATAATAGTTCTACTCGAGTTGCCATTTTCAGAGATAGGGAAAAGGACCGTAGTGATCCAGATTATGATCGTAGCTATGGAAGGTGAGTTATATCACTGTATTCCATAATTTAAGATCTTCCCTGAAATTGAATGCTTTAATTGCCAATGCATGGTTACTTAGACATTTTTCTGCACTACACTTTGAAAATTGTGTTGTTTTTGTATCTTTGAATAAAAGATTAAAAGCTGTCTGTGTTTGTGAGAGAAATAGAAATGGGGAGGGCTCAGAATTGAAGAATTTATATAACTTGTGAAGTTTAGATTTTTTTTTTCAGCCTTCAAATTCTTGTTATTGGTGCAGGTATGCAAGAAGTATTCCAACCTCTGCTGTTAACTTGGTGCCGTTTAATTTGCAAAAAGCTCAACATTCGTTTGCTCAATATGACACTGCTTTTAATCAGTTGGGTCAGATGCCACAAACTCAGGCATCACTTGGCTTTGGGCCTCCATCAAGCCCAATAATGAGTCCGTTTTGTACCACAGGATTGAATCAGGCATCTAGGGATGGTGCTTATCTACAGTGGCCAAGTGCTGCAATGATGTATGCACATTCATATGACCAATTTAGACATGCTGTTTTCCAGGTGAACCATGTTTTACTTTAATTAATTTTATTACCCTGCTGAATTCAATGAGTGATTTTTGTGATAACATCAAAACCCCAGGGGTCAGGATGCATTAGTAATAAATGTAATAACTTTATAAATTAATAATGTAGGTCTCATGGGTTAATATTCTTGCTTGTTTAAAATGGTTTTTAGGAATGACTTGTCTTTGCATGGTTTGTTATATATTTAAATCAAATATCTCATTTTCTGGCCTCCACCTCCAATGTACCTGGATGTGTCAGATTTTGCTATATTTCAATTTCTTGTCACATAATGCTGGTTGGTCAATTTTATTCTCCAACATGCACTATGCAAATTGTGTGTGAAGGTAATCTGTATATCTGCACATTGCATTGTAGTGTATATATATGTTTTTTAAGTCTTTTATTTTGTTTTAAAATATAGAGATTTTGCTAATATGTGTATCATGAGTGTTAGGGTAGGTTAATGATTTTGCCCCACTATGCATTGTTTGAATTATGCTCTCGGACAAAGATGAAATTTATTTTCCTTTTCTCACTATGTCTGGTTTTACTTGTTCTATTATCATGGTTCATGCATCTAATATACTCTTGCTGCTTTGCAGGCTCCATTTGGTCAACAGCCGTTGAGCTTTGACTATTCACAGGATTATTAGATGACATTTAGGGGGCAGTATTTGATTTGGATGCAAAGTTATGCTAGTATTTTAGGATTTCATTTTAGGTTAATTTTTCAGGACTGTGTCATAGACCCTTGTAGTAGTGTATGTCTTTGGTTTTTCAGTTTTGATGGTTATAGTAAATCATTGGGTACTTGTAATGTGAGAGTTTATAAAAATAGTGAATTGTGGTGCATTACTGGACTTGCAATTATATGATAAGGTTTCAGAGGTGTTTTAAAATATACTTTGCCCAATAATGTTGGGGAGACACAGATAGGTGCTTCTTGTTTTACGTCCACGTTAAGAAGTGCTGTAATTCAATTTAATAATCGTTGATCTGCATCCTAATCTGTAAGGATACGGACGGCAGCTGGATAAGGCGATTCAAAATTTGATTTGACCCAACTTAATAATTTGATTAGTTTAACTTCGAAAATAATCTAATTTGTTAAAAGTTCGTTTGAAGAATAATTATGTCTCTAAAGTAAGTTGAATAAACCATAATGTTAGGAAGAAAAATCACGATCTGCAAAAATCTATTTGTAGTAGTACTAGTCATAATTTTCACCCTCACCCTTTGTCTGCTATGCAAACAAACTGTGCGTGGTCGAGAAAAATGGAGTGAAGTAACATTAAAGGATTTAAGGGTTTGTTTAAAGCAAAGAATGGGATTTTAATAGAATTAATTCTAAATCATTAAATGTAATTTAAGTGTGTTTATAGGTTTTGCATTAAAAATGTATGTCATGGATAAAAGAATTGATTCTAGTTATGTATTAAACAAGTACTGTATTTTTTGAAAAACTAATTAACGAATTGAAATTGTTATTGTTGCATCAAAGGACTTAATTTTAAAAAAAGTTAAAAAAATAAATGAAAATGTTATGAATTATTACAAGTGGATGTTTATTTTTCTATCTCTTGGTATTCTTTGGAACTTAAAAGATTATAACTATCTATAAATAAGACATTTCATTTGTATTGAGAATGTGTAAAATAAAATTGAATTTTTTTTCTTTAATATTGTTCTCTCTATTTAAATATTAGCATAACACTCCAATATACACTTTTACAAGAAAGGAACATTCTTGAAAAAAATGTATGATATTCTTTTATTTTTATTTTTTTTAATGAAAATATCATCACTTATTTGCTTCTTATGACTCGCAACACTGCATTATTGATTAAATTTTTATTACTTTTTTATTAATTAAAAAGAAAATAAAACAAAATCACTAGAGCATAGAATAAATGTTATCTATGCATAATAAATGCCTAACATCATCTAATAGATCATGCATAATGTTAATGAAATCATTTTGTAGAGAACCAATATGATCTAAATGATTTGCAACTCGATTGACTTTACAATGAGCAAATAAGATCTCCACATTCTAAAATTGATATAACAAGTTAAAAATATCTAAAATCATATGAGCATGAGGATAACAAGAAGATATCAAATCTGAATTATCGATATCCATAATCTCTTTGCAGTCACTCTCATGGACCAAATTGTTATAGTTGGAGTCCCAAGCTAGTTTCAAGCCATTAAATCTACCAAGAAGTTTAGCTAAGGTTAAGTCACCATGTCCATCAAAACTATTGAAATCCAAGAGCCAATTCTAATTAGAATCTTCAAAGACTCCTCCTGAGCTCATGTGACTAATGTGTGGAGCAAAACTACCATTCACATTGAGTTTAATAACACCATCTTTAGGAGGTTTCCAAACATCAATAATGTATAGCATTTTCCTATCAGTTTCATTCAGAAAATGAATATTAATTTCATCATGCAGTAGGCAGATTTCATGTAAAACTTCTTGGATCAACCAATTCTTGCTTTGAAAAATGCAATTATTCCTCCAATGTCAAAGCCACCATATTGTTGATAAAAGAGAATTCTTTGTTTAGAAAAAGCACCTCCAAACAATCAAGAACCTACATTACTATTGAAAAGATGACATTGCCTCCCAAAGCCCAACCTTAGCCATATTTCCTTAGCATGTTGATAGTCCCTTAGATAATAGAGAAAATCTTCCTCAGAGTAAGAACACCGATGGTAGCCTAACAAAATCAAATAGCTTACATTACTGTCTATGCTTATTTGTTGGTAGAGCATCATGTAAAGCTTGCCAAAGAAATAAATAAATCTTAGAAATCTAAAGTTTCTAAAGCCATTTTTAGATGTATGCAATGGGCTGGGAATGATAATGACTATTAAGCCAAGCATAACCCGAGGTTATTGAATACTTGCCTTTTTTCCTAGACTTCCAACACTGATAGTCTTGGAATGATGCAACAAGTGTGCGAGGGACTAACAAATTAAGTTCTGTAAATATTGAGGCAAGACCGTATGAAATATAGAAAAATTTCAAGTGCCACAAAAAATGATATCCTTGAGACAGTTCTGTATCAGGAATATGAACATAGTTTATTAGTTAACATAATGGTCTACAACTAAGCCAATCTACAAACCAAATAGAAGTGGCACTATCCCCCAACCTAAAAGAGAAGCCCTCTTTGAGCAAATTTTTTGCTTTGATCACTTAGCACCATATGTAGAAGGCATTATTATCCCTTAAAGTATTAAGAGTGGATCCATTATTAGGATACTTGTGGAATAAGACTTGATACCATAATTTATATGTATTAATGAGTATATCTTGCACAAGTTTTTCTAGGAGAGTTGTGTTAGTTGTTGTGTTATCTCTAATTTTAAGACCTTCAGATCGTTTATCTGCTATGAGAGTATTCCAAGAGACTTGATGCCAACATCTTTGTTCGGTATCATGTCTCTAAATAAACCTTCTGAAAATCTTATCAATTTTATAGCAAATGCTTCTAGGTAACCAAAAGGCTTGCATGGAATAGATGGGAATAGAACTGAGAACAAATTTCACTAAACAAATTCGCTAACTTTATTAAACATCTTTGATTTCCAAGAAGAAAGTTTCATATGAACCCTTTCAATAATATGGTTGAAGGTGTTTCTTTTATTATGACCATGCAAAATGGAAAAGCCAAGATACTTCCCAAGATCCTTAACCACCTTAATGGAGGAGATGGTTTGAAAGGCTTGTCTGTCATTGCTTAAGATACCTACTAAACACATATAAGCATACATTTGTCAAAGTTAATCCTCAAACCAAACTCCATACAAAATTGATGAAGTGCATTAGTGTTGGTTATTGAAATAACATATAAAGGGCTGGAACAAGAGGGAACAAAAGAGAAATTTGAATTTGTTGAAGACATGTATTTTATTGAAATGAAAATCATGTACTTATACAGAAAATAAGGAAGCTAAACGTGCAAAAAAGCTGCTACTGATAAACATATTAGATGCCCAAAAAAAAGGAAATCAAATATTCTGATCCTAACATATATTTGACTCTTTATTGCCTAAATATCAGGAAAATTAAAAATTTGGCAGTTTCACGGGTCATTCCAATCAACACTCCTCCTTGACATTGAAGCTGCATACTCCAAGTTTTTTCCTCAAGAACTCAAATCTAGTTTTAGGAAGTGCCTTTGTCAGAATGTTAGCACTTTGATGTTCAATTCTACAATAGACAAGCTGCACTTCTCCATCCTTCTGAACTTTTTTTAGAAAGAAAAACTTGATCTTGAAGTGTTTTGTTTTGCCATGGAAGACTGGATCATTAGCAATTGAAATGATAGCTTGGTTGTCCACAAATATCTGTGTGCTTCTTGTTTGTTCCATATGCAAGTCTGTCATGAGTTTTCTGATCCAAAGAGGTTGGTTCACAACAGCAACAAAAGTTATATATTCTGCTTCTGTTGTTGATTGAGCTATAATTTTTTGTTTATTTGAACAGCATAAAACAATAACCTGAGGTGCTTCTCATGTCATCAACACATCCTGCCCAATCACTATCAAAATAACCAAGAAGACTAAAACTTTTAACTTGACTGAATCTGATTCCATAATTAACTGTGCCTTTAACATATCTAAGAATTCTTTTTTGTTGCTTGAAAGTGAATTTTACTAGCACAGTGCATGTACCTTGATAGTAAACTCACTGCATACATAATATCTGGTCTGGTTGCTGTCAAATACATCAAGCAGCCTATTAGGTTTCTGTACACTCTTTCATCAACCTTTGCAGCTTCATCTTCTTTGCAAAACTTCTCCTTTTGATTCATTGGAGTTGCAGTTGGTTTGCAATCCTCTTTGTTGAACTTCCTAAGAACTTCTTTTGCATATTTTTCTTGGCACACAAATATCTTATTTTGCTTTTGTTGCACCTACATACCAAGGAAGAATGTCATCTTTCCAAGGTCTGTCATCTCGAAAGAATCTTTCATTTCTTCTTTGAACTTGTCAATTAATACCTTATGACTTCCTGTAACAAATAGATCATCAACATAAAGAGATACCACAAGTATTTCATTATCAACCTTTTTGACAAATAGGGTAAATTCACTTGGACTTTTTACAAAGCCTAAGTTTTCTAGGTGTGCATCAATTCTGCTATACCATGATCTTGGTGCTTGTTTAAGCGCATATAGGGCCTTATTTAGTCTATACTCCTTCTCCTTATGTCTTTGAACAACAAAACCCTCTAGTTGTTCGACAAAAATTTCCTCTTGCAAGTATCCATTCAAAAAGGCTGACTTGACATCCATTTGATGTATGGCCCAACCATTTTGTGCAACAAGTGCTAACATCAACCTTATAGTATCTAACCAAGTCACTGGAGCAAAAGTTTCAGAAAAATCTACCCCAAAAATTTAGGCATATCCCTTAACAACAAGCATTGCCTTATGCTTGTTTACAGAACCATCAGGATTAAGCTTGGTCCTATAAACTCACTTGACTCCAATAGCTTTCTTATGATTGGGTCTGTCTACCAAATCCTATATTCGATTTTTTTCAATCATTGCATCTATTCGCTTTGATCAGTTGCAGCCTGTTCATATCCAGCAGGTTCCATGATGACAACATTGCACTTTTGGTAAATGTCAGAAAGTGATCTTATTCCTCTGATTGATTCTTCATCTATATATTTATTCTCTCCTTGAAATCCAATCTTCTTGTCTTCTTCCCAACTCTAGCTATCTAACTCCAAGAATTTGACATCCCTGCTGACAGTTACTTTGTTGTGGTGTAGTAGATAGATCCTGTAGGCCTTTGAAATTAAGCTATAGCCTACAAAAATTTCCGGTTCTGCTTTCTTGTCTAGTTTGTCTCTCTTAACCTTAGGAATGTAAAAGAAACACAAGCAATCAAATATCTTCAG